TCTATAACAATATTATGTGAATAAAATTATAATAATGAGTAGCTGATGGAAACAAGTCCTTGATTAAAATGTCATCATGGGCACACTGTTATGTACTAGAGTTTTATGCTCTATTTCAGACTGCTCTGAGTTCATATTTGCGTAACAATGTCATTACTAAGGTCATTCTGGATTTGAATTTAGCATCAATGATGGAAAGGAACCAGTCGAGTTGAGCCGGAAGTTCTTTACTTCTTAAAATACTTAGACAAATCGATGACGAGAAGAATGTTTAAGTCAATAAAAAGTAAGCATTCGGCAATGCCGGCCGAAAAATGTATGTGGAGCGCATGAAATCAATACTCCCCACAATTCACATTCTTAGTAGGAAATCATTCGTGAAACACAATATACCGAAACAAAACTCATTATGAAAACTATTTATGAATATTAGTACTCGTAAATCAATCAAACTTCATACGTTTCAGTCATTTTTTCACATAAAATATATTTTTCGAAAAACATTAATTACAATGACTTACCCAAAGATATTTCGGATCACAGTGATGAAAATACACAGGTTTCACAACACAGGGCACTATTTACATGCTTTATGAAAACGTTTTATGTAATTTTATTCAGATTAATCAAAAATATTCAACATCGATGTGTCTGCGATTAGCGGATGACGGGCCGGACCGGACAGACGGAATGACGTGAAACGGTGAAATTGAAATGACGTTACGCTTGTACGTTACATTGGACATTTTCTATAGGATGTTAATCAAATAAAAAATCTTAAGAACTTTAATCTCCAGTTGATTTTCCGAGTATGAAACTTATTTATTTCTACACAAGACACTAGTCTCCGCGTCACTTAAAGTTATTGGAAAAAACTAATAAGTTAAAGTTAGGAACATAGGCGGCCTAAGTTCCTAACTTTAACTTATTAGTCTCGTCCTAAATGGGTATCCACTCAAACGTCCATGTATGATGCCTGTCTGTAATCCACATGGACATCATTTATCAACGTTTGTTATATTACGTTCATGGCAATCTACTAACGGCTGCAGCTGTAACTCAAACAAAACGGCTCAATATTTCAAGAAGTTAAAGTGACTACGCCGCCCATGTCCTTGCTTGTCGCTTTGACTGTGGAATTCTTTGCCAGAGTCTGTATTTCCTGAAGGGTGCCTTCAAGGCTCGAGTGAATAGGTTGCTTATGGGACGATGTGCTCCATCGTAGACCACATCATCACTTACCACCAGGCAAGATAATGGTCAAACGTCGGCCTTACGACGGTTAGGCTTCTACTTTTATTAATAGAAGAATTATTACTAGTATTCAAATTTATTTTGGCATGGCAAAGGCCTCTCTACCCTCCTTCCACGCCTCTGTATGTAAACATTTTTGCGACCAATCCTTTTCATTAAGTGTTCAGTTATTTAGCCTTTTGGGCCTGCCCACGTCTATTGATGTTGAGCGGGCTCCACTCGGTAGTAAGTTTAGCCCACCGCACGTCTGACATGCGGCAGACATGACCAGCCCAGTTCCACTTCAAGCCTACGGCTATAAAACTATTCAATGAATGGAGTGAATAAATAAATAGGTCTGTCTTGATCTTCAGCTTAATCAATTCTACTGGGACTGGGACTGATACTATCATTGGAAGTTAGACAGGCACAGCCATATTCAGGTTAACGCACCATTATCACTATAATGACTGAAATTAACCTTGTCGCACGGTCGCACTCAACCAGTGCCAGCTAACTTTCAGAACGTCTACATAAACAACAATCTTGGTGCAAAACGATTTAAATTATTTAGTTAATATAATATGTCTTATTTTGATTAACATCATTATTTTTATTTTATTTAGTCGATTGCTACATGAAGTCATTTTGGTCATCACTAGAATCATCATTTCCGAATGCAATTGGGAACGTCATCGTGAATTTTGACGTGCAAAACGTTAATACAATTTGTCATTGCTTCACAATCGTGCCTATTGTTATTTCTGGGTGTTATTTATTTAATTACACTATTTTAATTGAATACTGTTATTCAATTTATACTTATAATAATTCAAAATAATTTATCAATCAAAATGACGACCGTTAATTTGGCTCTGAATAGTATAATTAACGGAAGAAACGATTTCTGTTGTTTGTGTTTAAGTTCTTTAAAAGAGGATCCTATAAAAGTTAATGATGTAGTTGTGGTTAATTTAGATAATTACGAATCGGACATAGCCGTTTCAGAAGTTTTGAGTGTCGTATTTGATGAAGAGGTATGTAAATACGTATTTTCACTTTTAACAGTTACTTTAGTTGAAACTTTTGAAATATCGGTATTAATTGCCTTTGTTATGATTTTTAATTCTTGTCCACTATGATACTGTTCTGTATTACTCTGCCCCTAAAGATTGGAAGATAGAAGCTCCATTTTGTGGTCTGTTATTTAAGTTATTTACTTAGTTGTTTATTGTTAGTGTAGGTATTTTGTAAAGCAGTGTCAAACAAACAATAATCTCCTTCTATAAGTATTTTCCGTGGTTTCCTTCCCTCATCTATCTACTTTCTACAGTTATGACAATGTTATGTACCCAAAGAGTTTGAATATCCTTAGCAATTTTACTTATCTGTTTTTATATTTCTCTTTTCAGATGTGTACCTACATAAATACATTGAACTCGCTATGTGAACATTGCACTATGTCTGCAATAAGCTCCTACAAATTCAAACAAGCCAGCCTAAAGAATGCAGAATATCTCACAAATGTTCTAGATGGAATCGCAAACAATTTTGAATACACAACAGAATTTTATGACAGCAAATGCCTCTATGTGTCGTTTAATACTAAAAATCTCACTAGCAAACAATATTATGATAACCAAAAAAGAGTTACCACTCCAAAAGCAGCCTTACGCAGATTCCAGGCACTAGAAAATACCAAAAAATTTAATTTAGACCAAATGATCCTTCGTAATATCAAAAAGGAAGAAAACAGTGAAAGTCATCAAACAAAAATTAAGAAAACTAGACATTACATTGATATCCCAACTAGTGAAATGTTGTTAGATAAGAACAATCGTAATTTATTAAGATGTAAAGAATGTTATAAAGAGTACCCAACAATTTGGAATTTAAGGAACCATTTTATTAGAGTACATGCTCCAAAAGATTTCAAATGTCCCAAGTGTCCTAGAAAATATGGCTCCGCTGCATTCCTAGAAGCACACAAATCGGAGAGTCATGTCGTGGCAGTTTGCAGTGAATGTGGAAAGACCTTTAGAAATAAACATACTCTAAAAATGCATGAGATGGGCCATCAATTAACATTGGTCTGCCCAGACTGTGGCAGAGTCTACAAAAATAAAGCAACATTCAAAAAACACATTCAGCTAAATGTTTGCGGGAAAGCGACAAGGGCACATCCATCTGAAGCTAAATATACATGTGACTATTGTAATAAAAAATACACACAAAAAGTTTCCCTGCGAGTTCATATACAGTATGAACATGGGAACTACAAATCTCATATTTGCGAATGGTGTGGAAAGAAATTCTGGGCCCAAAGTAGATTAAAAGCACACATTGTGAAACATACCAGAGAGAGAAACTTTTCTTGTTCAATTTGTGGAGGAAAATTCGTTACGAAAGAGTCACTTTTATACCACACAAGGACACACACTGGTGAGAAACCTTACAAATGTCCACATTGTGACATCAGATTTCTATCAGCTTCCCGCAGATCTGATCATATAAAACGTCATCATTTGGGAGCGACTCTAGAATGCGATATATGTCACACTAAATTCAATACTAGAGCCTTTTTACTAAAACATAAGAAAACTCATATGAGATCTGAAAGTAAGGGTGATGAAGTAGACATAATAACTGATGTTGACCAGTCCGGTACTGAAGATCAAACTGATTCCAAAAAGACTGTAAATGAATCTAAAACTAAAGACCTTTGGATATGTAAAGTTGAGGAAAACTCTAATCCGAGCTACCAAAAGTTGGTCAGCACTGGTGAAGTGGATTTGAATCAACTTACTCAACAAGTTTATGAGGATGATACAGAAGAAGCTAAAATCTATTTGGAAGTGTCTGATGATACGGATGATTACATAAAGATCTTGGGTGTCTAATATTAAAATAGCCTTTAAAATTGCATGTTAATATAATATTGTTGTATATTAAAATAATTTACGTGACATTTGTAAAAGAGGTTGTGGACAATAGCTAGTTGACATTTAAAATAGTAGGTATCGTATGGTGATATTAAATATTCTATTAATTCCTGATTGCTTTTATAGCAATTGTATATTTACTTTTAAAGCTTGAAAAACTATATTTGTGTGTGTAAATGATAAAAGCAATAAAACTTATATATTGTATGTCTGTATTATTATTTTATGAGTTGTAAATTAGTTATGAAAGACATATTTAGGTTCCTTGGGACGACGTGCTCCATCGTAGACTGCATCATCGCTTACCACCAGGCGAGATAGAGGTCAACTAACGTCGGCCCATCAAATTATTAAATACTATTAAAAAAAGTAACCCATTCCCATTTCACACCGCCGATTTTAAAAATTAAAAATGCTTTACTGTACAAAACTGAATTGAACTTTTGGGTATTTGTTTGTACCTATATACCATGTCCATAAGTGTTGTGGTATAATTTTGTCTGTTGCTAGGTACTAGACGTGGCATATTATGTACGATTTGATGAAAGGTCGCTTAGTCCATAGCAAATGCTCACAAACGACTCTTTCAGCAGCATGAGAAGTATGAGAACAACCTACTATTGTAAAGTCAATATTTGTACTTTTATAAATTGCTGTTGTGTGTGATAGAAATAGAGTCTCTTTTTTCCATTACCCATAACTACAATTCTTTAGCTGCGTTAGCGTACATGGGGCCATTGCCACATACATGATCAAAATGCCCCCTATGTCCATGGCAAATAAAAAAATATGATTAAAATACTAGGCTCCCTTTTCAATAAAAAAGGCTCATCTCGTGACTTGTCAAATGAATTGTCAATGTCAAATATTCCGAGTCGGCAATCAGCTGTCAAATACGTCAAATTTGTACTGTTGTCGTTGTTTTTTTTGTAATTTTTCGGTAAACTGTGAAATGAATGTTGTAAAACGAATATTATTTATGTAAGGAAAAGCCTTAGCAGTAGAATACGTACAAAATGACATTCCTTGAAGATACGTTGATAATATTAATTTCACAAGTAAGTTGAAAATAAATATTATCGGAGGTTATTTTGGACAGGGCAAGTTGAATTAATAAACGATTTATACTTATTTTCCTATGGATAACAAGTCTAATTACTAACACTACTACAGCCCGCCTTTTTAAATACATTGTTTAGATTTTAAAAACATACACACATCAGTATCAATAAATACTTTTCCCAATTCAGCACTTTTAATTTTAGTCCATTTCTAACAGGACGAATTAACATTAGTAGCACTATAATTGCCACTAAAAATAGTCACTGATTACAGTATCATGGTTTTATTAGGCTATAATTGCTATAGTTTATGAATACAACTTGTAGCATGTTTTTATTGTGACTAATCTATTTTACAAATACGTTACCGACATTATTATTAAATAAATACATTTTATATCCATCCTATTTTCAGATAGTCTTCTTCGTTGGAGGCTGGATATTCTTCGTGAAGCAATTATTCCGAGACTATGAAGTCCACCACCTGCTGGTTCAGCTTATATTCTCTGTCACCTTTGCACTAAGTTGCACAATGTTCGAGCTAATCATATTTGAAATCATTGACTATTTGGACTCAAGGTAAGAAGGTTATAAAACAAGGGTGTTTTTTTTTTATTGGTTTTTATATATTTGATGGGCTGATGTTTGACAGGTGATAGACCTGATGGTTGATGAACGATGCGGTCTACGATGGAGCAAGTCGTAATTAATTTAATTTAATACACACATGGAATAATATTTCATGTCCTTTTGTTCTATGTAGGGGTAGTTCTGTCTGCCCCGCTACAAAAATTTGTCATATTCTAAGTCCCATGTTATAAGAACCAACCCTATTGACTTTGTGCTAGAGTTAATTTTGAGACTGAGAACATCAAAATTAAGAATCATTCATTCGAGATCAGTATCATTTATTCGAGATTTAAATTAGAGATTTTAAAAAATTATTTACAATGTTTGTGTTCCAATTCTTCAGGCTAAGAAGAAAATGTGTTGTTTGATTTTTTCTTCAGAAGTCATAATTATTAAGTAAGATTTAGATGGCAAGATTCCCTAATTTCTAAATTTTTTTCCATTTCAGCTCCAGATATTTCCACTGGAACTTGGGTCTCTACTCGTTACTGTTCATGGTGATAGCCTTGATACCATTCTACATTGCATATTTTTGTATCAGTAATATTAGATTTGGTGAGTAAAACTACTTATTGTTTCTGTATAATCTAATAATTAACTCGTGGAGTACCGTCATTATAGGCACAATTAAAGAACAATAGGTTCCGGTCACCGGACTACTCGATGTTTGACAGTTTAATGTATGGATGTTAATAGCGACATAATTCGTTATTTAAGTCATTTCGAATATATTTAATAGATTTTTAACTTTATGCCTTCATTATAAAGTTGAAAATTCATGATTTATAGATTTTCTTTCAATTCTTTGAAAATTGGATTGAATTTAGAAGGCTTTTTGACTCATTTTTGGCTGACATCATCGAGAGTTCGAGACTTACAATACATATTTGAATTTTTCCTATTATTTTGAATCAAAACCATTATTTGCGCATAATGCATTCTTATGCGCAATTTGCGCAACAATGTTTTAACTAGGCTCTTATTATTTTTGTTTGTTGCAGTCTCACAAAATATGATAAGGCCGCTAACCATATTTGTGTGGTTTGTTTATTTGTATTTCTTCTGGAAAATTGGCGACCCGTTCCCAATTTTGAGTCCAAAACAGGTAAGTAGTTCTTTTCTTTTTTAATAAACGTTGCCCCACATTAGGATTTTCGTGGGTGGGTTTACAAACATACAAGTTCACATAGACAGGATACCCAGACCCGAAACAACAATTTGTGGATCACACAAAGTGTTGTTCCGTGCGGGAATCTAACCTGCGACACGTTGCACGGCAGCCCGTTGCCCAGCCACCGCACTAACCGTGCAGTCAATTTGTAGCATTACTTTAAAAGTATGTAAATATCTATGTAATTCTAGATACAATCCTAAACTTGGTGGTCACATATGAGATTCTGAAATTGGCAATAGTTAGTTGGTTGACACCGAAGGCTAGGTGTAATCCTTGCGCAACATATCGTAGGTTTCAATTCCCGCTCAGAAGTTGAAATTGTCTTATTCCAAGGTTAGGTCTGATGTCCACCGAACAAAACAAAACAATGTATCATGTTCGTGCATTAAATATTTTTTCCGGCACGACCGGAGTGATACCACGGCCTCACAGAAAACCGTTGTGCTTCGTCGTGTGTGTGAGGTTACCGGAGGCCAAATTACCCTCCCCTTCCCCAATCTCCCCAATCCCTGAATCCCCAACGACCCTTAAACTCCTAATCCCCAAAAAGCCGGTAACGCACTTGTAAAGCCTCTGGTGTTCCAGGTGTCCATGGGCGACACCGATTGCTTACCATCAGATGATCCATCTGCTCGATTACCGGCTTATGCCATAAAAAAAGTTTAATTATATTAAATACTAATTATAATGAACTTTTAGGGAATATTTTCAATAGAACAAGGCGTGTCTCGTATTGGAGTGATCGGAGTCACAGTGATGGCTCTCCTCTCCGGATTTGGTGCTGTCAACTATCCATATACTTCTATGGCTATATTTATAAGGTAACAATCGTTTTGTAAGTTGAATTTAGGTTAATTTAGATTCAGTGTACCGATATCGATACCTACTTCTTCAACCAACTATCGGAGTAATTCGTGTATTGTGCGAGCGAGCAATGATTTCAATAAATTCTGTAAAGATTTTTCTTACGACCTGTTTAACTGTGGTGCACAGGCTGCAACTTGATTTCTTTAATTCATAGTGGGTACTATATTTTAATTTATTTAATATTTTAGATTGCCTGTGGTTTAATAAGTTTAAAAAGTAATTTTAGTATTGTGTTTTCATGTTTCTATTCTCTGTAACTAATCGTGGAAATTAGTAGCTATTATGTAAATGTAGTATAGCTTGTTGGTTTGCTAAATGTATAAATAAAAAAGTGGATATATATATATCATTACAAACATAGTTACTGTGATTGCTACAGGATTAAAGTATAGTTTAATTTGGTTATATGATTTACTTCTGTGACTGATCTATTCGATGAGGTTACTCGACTACTTTAGAGCCAGTCCAAGGGCTCATGATCATGAGTAGCATGTAGCATCTGTTACGAATGAACAATTGTTATTAAATTAGCCTTTTAAAATTTATTTCCTCATATTCACAGGCCAGTAACACAATCAGATGTCCTATCAATAGAGAAGAAACTCCTACAAAATATGGACATGATATTGGTGAAAAAGAAAAGGATAGCGCTAGCCGAAGCCAATAGTGTGGGAGCGAGACAACAATACAATATGTTGGACCAATCCAATGTTAAGAATAGAGGCGGATTCTGGACAAATATTTTGTCCAGTGTTGGTAGTATTGCTAATCCTTTAGGACATGGGAGTGAAAGTGAGTAATTAACAGTTATAATTAGTTAGTCGAGTAGTGGAGAACCCAAGACAACGGTCTAGGGTTCGATTCCTTGTCTTCAATGTCTTTTCTGATATAATGACGATAGGCTTGCTTGCCCTTAATATATGGAACTTGAAATATAGCTAATGAAAACAAATCTTCTCTATCTATCCTTTCGGGGATGAAAGGGCGTGATGTTATTGTTCTAATGGACGGCAACCTTATTTAATTCACTTTTGTGCCTCTAGGTGGCGCTCTCTGTTATGTCTATGTGTAAGATAATAGTAGATTAAAATATTCTTTAATTCTTCATTTTCCAGACATACACCAACTTCGCCAAGAAATAGCAGGACTTGAGGAGTTGAGTCGCCAGCTGTTCCTAGAAGCTCATGATGCAAGAACTATGAGAGAGAAGATCGAATGGTCCAAGACCTTCCAGGGGAAATACTTCAATTTCCTCGGATATTTCTTCTCGCTGTACTGTGTTTGGAAGATTTTTATTGTAAGTGCTTAATAATTTATTTAGTTATTTTATTTATTTATATTGCACAATGTACCTACATATAATAGGAAGTATTACATACAACTAATTCAGTACATTACCCTGTTAGGGCGCAGCAATTTAAAACATTACAAAATTTTATGTTACCTGAAACTTATAACTATTACTTGGAGCTATAACTATACCTATATATTTATTTATTTTAAGTGTACTTATTTATTTTATGGATTATAAGTAGAAAAAAGATTCAGAAGAATCTATAAAACATGCGTCATTGACTTGTTTTTGAAAGCCGAGCAAGGGGTCTTAGGTTCAATTCCCGGGTCGGGCATAGTATTATTAAGCTTCTCCTGGTTTTCTGAAAATTCTCAGTGATAGTATGGAACGTCTGGATATGGGAATAGGCTTATCCCCTGTAATATGGGATTTATAATGTATCTGGTGAAAATTCAGCATTACTTACAAAATTTTCTTTAAAATACTTAATCTCTATGACTATAATTTTGTTCCAGTCCACAATAAACATAGTATTCGACCGTGTGGGCAAGAAGGACCCAGTAACCCGTGGGCTTGAGATAGTGGTCCACTGGCTCGGTTGGAACATAGATGTCGCTTTCTGGTCACAACATGTCTCCTTCATTCTGGTTGGATGTATTGTACTGACTAGTATTCGAGGATTACTGCTTACGTTGACTAAGGTAAAATTAAATATTATGTTGTTTTTATTAATCTTAGCGCAAGTGTTGAATTTAAACTTAATTACGATGTAATAAGGTTCAAAGTCTATTAAAAGGGATTAGAGTAGATTAAAATATTAGCACAAACTAACTAAACTGTGTGTGAAATTGTTAAAAAATGCGTTTTTTAGTGTGTGTCATTAAATTTATCTCGTTTATCTTCAAGTTTTAATAAAGCTGGTTTATATTGTTGTAATAATTATTCTCTTATATTCTACCACGTTTTTTAATAATTAAAATGATATTCTTTACTAAAATTACTTGTACTTATTTCAGTTCTTCTACAAAATATCATCATCGAAATCGTCGAACATAATCGTGCTAATACTCGCTCAAATAATGGGCATGTACTTCTGTTCCTCCGTGCTTCTGATGAGAATGAACATGCCTTCAGAATACCGCATCATCATTACTCAAGTCCTAGGTGATCTGCAGTTCAACTTCTACCATCGATGGTTTGATGTCATCTTTTTAGTAAGTGCTTTAACTAGTATATTTACGTTATATTTAGCGCATAAGCAACCGTCAGTAAACTAAGTAATAAATAATAACAGTTGCGCAATTTGCGCAAACTGTAACTATTTTGCGCAGGTTGTGTGAAAAGTTTTGCGCAACTGTTTTTTGCAGTGTACAGTGATTTGCTATTTTTAAGTTGTTCTGGCTTGTACAAATTATGAATTTTATAGTTTGACTGGGCCTAATACTTAAGTGAAACGAACTTTAATAATTATGCCAGGATAATGCATTATGTTGAGGCTAACGTTCTACAAAAAATATGACTTGAGCTTTAGAAAAATAAACCTTATGACGTGTCTATTGCCGGAATACTGAAACGTTACTCAATTTTAAGTCGTGCTCAAATATCGTGCCATCTCTGTCATTTTACAAAGAATTTGTAGAGATAGAACTATACTTAAGCTCGACTTAAAATTGAGTACCGTTTCAGTATTCCGACATGTGCTAACTAAGATGTTCTATGCCTATATCTAGAAATAAAGAAGAAGCATTTATAGAGCACAGATAAAATGATACAGATACCTATATGTATAATACAAAATAAAACCAATAAACTTAAAACAGTAAAGACAAGTCACTTTACGAACACAAATTGTCATAGTTGTTACGCCTCAATATAATTATTTCTATTCTATTTGAGAACGATACCAAAATTATGAAGTATTTTTATACTATAAATGGATTAGTATGGGCTATATTCTTATGTATTGTTTAATAAACATGTATTTATTTAAAAACTCAGTCATTGCACGGAGTCTTAATTGTGTCCAATGTTTGTTATAAACAGTAAACTTTAAGTACACTTATGTTCAAATACTAAAACACTACTCAATTTTAAGAAGCATTAAGTATAGTTCTACCACTTTTTTTAAAGCGCAGAATATCGTCGAATGACTTCTCCCGCTTGGGTGAGGCGGGAGGGAGTGTCAGACTCTTACTGACTAAAAACCACCCCGTTCCTACTCCTGCACTTCGAGCCGGAGCCCCGGTAAGCAGTTAGGTTCTCCGCGACTCCTTATCGGCATCAGCCCTATTGGGCCCCATCCGGCATCCGTGGTGGTCTGATGGCTCTTTGACGGCGCGCGGGGAACGCTCGGCGCCGTACGCTCGGGTCTAGTTCTGGTCGGGCGGCGAGCCACCCATGCTCGCCGTCCGCAGGCCCGCGCTTACGGTGGCCGGAGATCGTATAGTTCTGTTACTACAAATTCTTTGTAAAATGACTGAGACTGCACGGTATTCATGTACAACTTAAAATTGAGTAGCCTTTCAGTATTCGGCCGTTAAACACACAAAGCAATGTAATTAGGTTAACTTCGAAGTTGTCAAAAAGAATTCTATGAGTTTTTGGCTTCTTTATTATATTATAAATTATTACTTTCGTTTATACTGGTTTTGTGTAATAAAGAGAAATTCTTATGTACATAAACAATGTGTCTATATGTAAATATTATGTATGTATTTTGAGCTTTGATTGCCTTGTTGGCGTATTGGTCGCAAGTGGGGCTGCCGGCAAGGGGTTTCGGGTTCGACTCCCGAGTCGGGAAAAGTGTTACTGGAGTTTTAAACAAAAAAAAAAACTCAGTGGTAGCATAGCGTCTGGAATTGTGCCCGGTATATCGCAATAGGCTCACCCCCTATAGTATTACATAGAACTCATAAGATGAATAGTGAAAAGTGGGTGTTACATTGTACAGTGGCATTAGATGCCGAAATATGTAATTTGTTTTAAGAAACACTAATGGCCAATTTTACTAACTATCTCTTGACCATCTCTTAACTAAAAACTACTTAGCGTGAAGCAGCACCGAAACTAACCCCTTACTTATTTTGTTAGGTGTCACTTAAAGATTGTAAGTATTGATGTAAACTAAAATGTCAAAATGTGTTAGTTTATGGGTTCCTTAAAATTTAGGAGAGTTAGGTAGAAAACGAGCATTTAAATGGCGCTAATACTGTGTAATACCCGTTAACGATTACGTGCATGCCCGACCACTTTCGAGCCATACCGGGACCCTACTTAGTATGTATTCATAGACTATATATTATGAGTATGTTCTAACGATTCTAAATACAATGCCTATGTGTATATGTTACATAAGTTAATTCTTCTTCGGTCCTAATATTTTTTTTTATATGGAAATGCAATTAGTATGTTACCTTTATAAAAATTACCAACAGATGTTACTATATGGCATTACGTCATTGAGTGTACGATAAGGGAGTTCGAAAATATCTGATAAGGCGTTAAAAACTTACCTAATTCAATGGATATTAAGTCGAAAATCCAAAAAATAAACGATTGTCACGTTGGATATTTAAATTTTCATCTTTATGCTTTTGTTATTGTGTCGAAAATCCAATAAAACAATTGTCGGGTTGGAGAAGGGTTGTATATAGATATTTATAAAGTTGTTTTCCAATTCCCTTGTCAATATTATGTTACATGTAGACTTAAGTACCATAAAAAGGCGAAATAAATAAACTTTGTCATCATGGGCGCCGGCAGAAGTGTGCAAAGTGCAATTCACATTCTATGACAAGAGAGAACATAACAAAACTGTTTTATTTACAAGTTTTAAACTGAGATTCCTTGAAAATATCCTTAGGTTTTGGGATACAGCTCTTTTAAGCTGAGACCTTACCCTGGCTAAAATAAAGAAAACTATGTATCCCCCCTGCCTTCTACAGAGACAAATAGAAGGTCGGAAAGACACTTACTGACTAAACACCACCCCGGTCCTTCTCCTGCACGTCGAGCCGGAGCCCCGGTTACCCGTTAGGTTCTCCGCGATTCCGAATCGGCATCGGCCCTGTTGGACCCCATCTGTGGTGGTCTGATGGCTCTTTGAGGCGGCGCGGTACGCGACGCGCCGTACGCTCGGGTCTGTTTCTGGTCGGACGGGGAGCCACCCATGCTCGCCGTCCGCAGGCCCGCGCTTACGGTGGCCGGAGATCGTCCCGCGATCCCCGACGCCCGGTGTGTCCTTCGCGTTGGCTGGGTTGCGAGGAGGCAGCGCATCGCTGCCTCACGCGTCCCGCCTCCTCCTTACCTCGCAAAAGGAGGAGACGGCATCCCAGTCCCCCTCGCTCCGCATCATGGCCTGCACTAGGCCCGGACGCGAGAGGTCGCCATCGCCGATCACTTCCCTGAGGGCACGGCGGTGTTCAGCCCACGCAAGGCATTCTCACCGTGTCCTCAGGGCGGTCCTCGCAGTGATGACATACGGGCGCTCCTGAAACTTCCATGTCCGGTGAAGACCTGCGTCAGGCGGTAGGTGAGGACGCCGTAGCGTCTCTCAAGCTACTCCTCAAAGAGGGGACTTACCGCTGCAATAGCAGCGAGCCCAACCTTAGGGCTGGTCTAGGGGTCCAAATTATATTGTAATAAAGTCAAAGTCAAAGTCAAAGATCTTTATTGTGAGACAGTGGTTACAAAGGTTGTTCTAAAGGTTGTTGTGTTCATGCACTGCTCCACCATGTTAGGCATACAATAGTTTGTGACAAAGCATATAAATTGCAGTAGCTATACATTATAATATTAAATACTGATTGAATAAAGAAACTTGTATTAATTTCATTTTGCATCAAAACATAAAATGGCGTTTCAACTGTTAACGAATCTGTCAGACAAAAATTCATGCAATGTATAATATGGTCTGTTTACCAGGAAGTCAAACATTTTTTTCTTAAAATCGTCTACCTTTTACAAATTTTGGATACTAGATATTCTTGATAGACTTATTTTAAATTATAAGGTGTAAACGGAACGCTCCTGAAAAACACTGACACCAAAAATAGATTTTATAATTTTAATCAATTTTGTTTTCGTGTTATTAATGCAACATCAGCCTTGAGCGATTGATTACGACTATTATTACATAAAATATTCATTTAATACCTTAATTTTATGAAAATAAAACTTGTTTTTGACTATCGCCTGTCGTTTTTCGGGAGCGATCCATTTACAATATGTCTTTAAATAATTATGTGCATATCTTTTAAAAAGTAATTCTGGCGGCGCCCATGTTTGTTGTTGTATTTTTTACCGTTGTGCGTTAACAAGTACCTAAACTAATCCTTGTTTAATTATATTTTTTTTATTGTGTCATATATGTTTCCATGTACCTATATGGAACCCCTTGAGAAAATAAGCCACCTAAGTTACTGGTATGCAGATATGAAAATAAAGATTGACTCAAAACAGAAACAGTAACGATTGATTGCCTGAGCTAACCAATATTTTTTTTAAACTTTGCCCCACACTATGATTTTATTCTGTATCGTAGGTGCGTTAACAAATATAGACGTTCATATACACATGGCACCCAGACCCGAAACAACAATCTGAGGATACACAAAGAGTTGCTCCGTGCGGGAATCGAACCCGCGACACGTTGCGCGGCAGCCAGTAGCCCAGCCACAGCACCATCCGTGCAGTCGAAAATTATAATAGTTTAACTGTCCCGGCAAAATTCCTACTGCCTCTAATTCTTTTCCTCATATTTTAAACCTTTCCTGGACTTTTACAAATAATTCAAGACCAAAATTAGTCATATCGGTTCAGCTGTTCTCGAGTTTTAGCGCGACTAATGAACGGAAGTACAAGTGTGGGAGAGCCATGCTTCAGTACGAATAGGTAGCCTCGACCGGAGTGATATCACAGCCGAGCGGACAACCGACGTGAAACAACGCTTGCGTGGTTTCGTCATGTGAGTGAGGGTACCGGAGGCCCAATTATCCTCAAATTTCTAATCCCCAAAAGGCCGGTTGTAGTCTGGTGTTCCAGGTGTCCATGGGCGGCGCCGATTGCTTACCACCAAGTGATCTAATTGCTCGTTTGCCGGCTTGACCCAAAATGGCAATTCATTTTTATTTATATAGATTTAAATAGACAGCATAGTTGCAATTTAGTGTAATATAGAAGTTACTGTCACTGTTCTGAAAAAAATCTTAATTTATTATAAGCCATATAGCTTGGCTGACTACTAAACATAGTTTATTAATTTCGCCCCCAGTTTTAAAGACTGACAACTTAAATATAAGGAAAATGAAATAAAACATCGAAAATACAATTAAATAGTTTTATTTAACAATTCTTTAATTATTTACCTTATACATATTATTATATCGAAATAGTTAAAAATAGAAAAGTTTACATGGAAAGGCCACCTTATGTTAGACTTATTTAAAGATATAGATAAAACCGTTTGTCTGTTTCTAAAGTTTTATTTAGGATTTTCGACGAGAAATCGCAAGAATAATACAATTTATGTTGAAGCTATTTCTTTCAAGGACAATTTTCTCAATTAAATACTGGATTTTTGTTTTAATTTCCTCTGTAATCCACAACCGTAATTCTTTATCGTACATACATAGATTATATAAACATTAACACGCCATGTTTATTCAAACATAAATACGAAGAAAAAAATACAGATTTATTTACAAAATTATTGTACCGACGTGTAAGAAAGTTGCAATAGATTATTTCTATTCATTGGTGTTCACTTTGAGCAATAAATTTGAAATTGCTACGTTTAAGCGAGATTGTTTATGGTGTAGTTGTCTATTCTCCCATTAGATCTTCATACTGTTTCCTGAAGCAGTCTCCGACAGGGAAGAAGTCCCAGCATCGTTGCGTGTACATATTCCATACATACGTTTCTTGACCTGGAGAAAGTGATAAGTAATTATTAATAAGTTTATATAATAAGGAAATAAGTACATAATAAGATTGCTGTCTTGGTCGAGTAGTCGACTATGAGACAGGTCTCAGGATAGGTTCACGAGCAAGCCAATATTTTATAGCTTACTGTTAAAAACTAGGACGGTATGTTACGTTCTCAAAAATATCAAAGAAAGGATTAGGAAAAGTGATTTAGTTGTCAGCTTGAGTATGTCTTGTATACAGCATGTCGACTTGCCGATGTCGAAAAATATTTTGTTAACAAAATTTAGAGAAAAAAAATTAAAATTCGCTTTTTATCGGGAATCAAACTTACTAACTGCCTCGTTGGCCGAGTCGCGACTGCGACTGCAAGGGCAAGGGGTCTCGGGTTCAATTCCCGGGTCGAGCAAAGAATTACGGGGGTTTTTAAAAAATATCTCAGTAGTAGCATCGGGACTGGAATTGTGCCCGGTATATGGCAACAGGCTCACCCCTAATACATGAGACTTAAATAGTGGTGTTACATTGTACTGTGGAATTAAGTACCGTAATGTGCACCTCTGCCTACCCCTTTGGGGATAAAACACTAATAAAAAATTAACAACATCATACCTGTATATTCCGTATCGGGCTTATTAATGAGATGCATAAGGAAGAACATGTAGTTCGCTAGATTATGCTCTCTCTGGACGTGAGTGTCGAACCCGTGCGGCACCTGTGGACAACGGGAACATTAACCACTGAACTATGACAGATAAAAAGAAACACAAGATTTTTTGAAATTTTGTATTATTTTTCCTCATTTTTTACAGGTACCTTGTATTTTATTTCATTTAATAAAACTCAGTTCTATTTTAGTTATAACTCAGTTACGTTAGTATAACTCAGTTCTTTTATTTAACACAAAAGCCACTCAGTTTCGTTATCTGGTAATATTACAGATGTTCCAAAAGAGAATCGTACTCGCAACACGTTGTGCCTAGGCACTGCACTACACGGCAAGAAAAAAATTTAAAAATAAACTGCACGAAATCATTTATGAGCCCTGATGTAGCTCGAAAGTAGTTGAACATCCTCGAAAATGTACCATAGTTATTTTACAATACAAAACACGTGAAAACTTACTTTATCAAAATAGTCTTTATTAATGCCACAGATGAAGCAGTTGGACTCCATGTCTTCCTTCACCGACTCCAACTGATCACGCAGTTCACCGAACGCGTCGATGATCAAACCTGGTATAACGTACAACAGTGTTATTCAAGATTAAACTTTATGATGAGGCAATAGTGTTTAATTTATATAGGTATTTAATTTTAGTGTTGACTGTCAACTTCAGGACTGAGTACTTTTGAAAGGAGTCCACATAGATTGGCTAAGGGAAAATTAAGTTTAAAGACATTCAAGTTTCTTTTAAACGTCCCCACACTGGCACTTCCTCCTGTGTCGTGGGTGTGTTTACAAACATACAATTTCCTGGAAAGCTAATTTGTTGACTACACAAATTAAAAAAAAAATATGCCCCACATTAGGATTTTCTCCTGTGTCGTGGGTGCGTTTACAAACATACATACATTTTCTTTTTTTTTTTTTCTTTTTTTTTTTTTTTTTCTTGCTGTGGCAACACTAGGGTAAACAGCTGATTTGTTGTTGTCCTTGTTATTTTGTAAAATAATTATTGTTTTTTATTATATTACGCCCTAAAATCTATCTCAACACTGAGGAAATATTGATTGTATAGTGCAAGCTATAGGTTTTTGAAATATTAAAGTAATTATTGTGAAATTGGTGAAGTTGAAAAATTTACGGTTACCGGCGTTAAGGATTTGCTACATTGTCATCTCGATATCAGGTAAAATACAGTATTATTTTGGCGAAATTGCTTATTTTGCGTGATAATATTCGTGCTTAATACGATATCAATTACTAAAATTCAGTTATTAGACCAATAAAATTCAAAATTATTAATAAACATAACCTCTTTGAGGTTGGTGACACAAATCCTTTGTCTATCTACCTAACTTATTTAGCAGTTTCTTGACTAAATTAGCTTCACCTTTTCATTTTCATTTTCATATTCTTAAAGTTTCTTTTACTGTTTCTTCCTCTTAACTTCTACAATGATTCTTACTCGGAAAGCCCATGCTCGCCAAGAGGAGTCTAAACTCAACCTGGCTTTGAGCGAATTAAAGGCATCAAAGGAGTTGTGTGATCAACTGTTGAGGGAGAGAGATGAGAATGAGAGGGAATTCTTGGATATTTTAAATAATAATAAGAAGCTGAAATCTGAAATGGCTCGGTTACATATTCAACACACCGAAGCTATTGAGACCCGGGATAGGCTCCAATTTGTTGTGGATGGATTCAGTCAATGTAGCAATGAGTATGAACAAACATTACATGACAAAGCTCTATTAGAACAACAGCTACATGAGGCCAATAGTCAAATTAGTCATTTAGAAACATTAAATCTTAATATCACGGCCAGTCTGAATAACAATCTCTTCAGTGAGTTGGTGTCAGCCCGTGCTTCTCAATCACAACATGTAGACTTGAATCCAGTAACTATTGACTTAACTTGTGATAGTAATTCTTGTCATTCTACAAAAACACTTTTTTGTAGTAATAAAAGATTAAAAAAGTACATAAAAATTAATAAATACATAACTAAAACTAACAGGCTAGTTAAAAGACAAAAGTTCTTTATAAAAAATGTAAAATTAAACAAAGAACGATTCCGGCTTCTAAACCAACTTAATACTTATTCTATTAAATTAAATCAACAGAATAGGAGATATGACACTGACACCCAAAACTTAAAATCAGAACTAGACCACTTAACATCAAAGTTGCACACCATGACCAATAAATATAGTGCATCTGAAAACCAAATGAGGGAATACATGTTGGCAATGAATGAGTTAGTGCGGTCACAGGAAAACCAGTGTGAGAAGTGTCATTCTGATGATGTACTGCCTGCTTGTTCTATGCCGGCATGTGATTCCACCCTACCTCAAGGTGCCAGTTCATTGATTCCTAGCCATTGTAACAGTACAAACAACAATAACATTGTAATCTTCAGTGATGAGATTGGGAAGAACTTAGGTTCTTTACTGACAAATATTTGTCCTGGACAATCAATAATGAATCACTGTATGCCCGGATATTCTTTTAGTAATATTTTGGAAAAAATTATCAATTATAGTTTTAAACAAGATTCTACCCTCATAATTATGTGTGGAAATAGAGGTAGTTTAAATAAAAAAAAATTATTGCAATTTTATAATTCACTTACAGAGCTTAAAATAAAGCAGATCATTTTGTTTACATTACCTTATAGTAATAGCTTGCCACAGGAAGAAAACAATTTAAGATTTAAACTAAATATTGCTATGTATAATTTATGTAATAATAGCAACATACATGTAATGGACACCAACAATTTAGTTGGCAAAAATTTATATATGACTAAAGATAGGTACTATCTTTCAAAATATTATATAAGACGAATAGCGGTGTCGCTATCATATTTTTTTAATATTACAGCCAAGAACTTGGCTAAACAGGTTGCTCCTATTGAGCAACTTTCAAATATTGACATTATTAATAATAATTCAATAAATATTGACATTTATAATAATTTAAATTAAAAAGTAAGACAATAGAGGGAACCTCTTGCAAATCAAACAGTAGTGTTATCAGTCTGGTTCACCAAAATATTCAAGGTTTTATGAGCAAGGAACTAGAAATAGAGTTATTTTTGAATTGTAATAATGTTGACATTTTGTGTATTACTGAGCATTGGTTGAAATCTCATCAACTAATGTTCAATTTTGGTAATCACCAGATTGGTAGCTCGTTCAGCAGGGAGAACGCTATACATGGTGGTTCACTAATATTAATAAATAACAAACTTAAATTTAAAGAACGCAAGGATATAGTTAGTTACTCTGTTGAACGCACTGTTGAAATAGCTTGTGTGGAATTAGAGCGGTTTATTGTTTTAAGTGTGTATAGACCACCTTCTGGTTTCTATGACTGTTTTGAAACAGTAATAGATGAAGTGTTAAATAAACTCAGTAGTTCAAATAAATTCATCATTACCTGTGGCGATTTTAATGTAAATTTGTTAGAAAATTCTAGTCTAAGCACTAAAATTGTAAGTTTATTTGCCTCATTTAACCTTACGAACTTATTTCTGGAGCCCACTAGGATAACTCCCACTAGTGCCACTTGCCTGGATAATATTTATACTGATATTGTACCAATTAAGAAACAAATTATATCATTGCTTGATTCAGATCATTGCGGACAGTTAATTTCAATAACAAATCATGTAAATACAATGTCTAAACCATTTATCACTGTTAACCCAAAGACTGAAAGACGCATTGAAATCTTCAAATCTAAAGTCACTGAAAAATTACCTTTGTTGATGAATAAAAATCCTAATAATTTGTATGATGATTTTTTTAATATGTACCATACCGAGTTTAAATCTACCTTTACACCTAAAACTATACCAGTTAATAGCAATGTATCTTTCAATGAATGGGCAACCACTGGCATCTATAAAAGTAGGAAACGTCTCTATGAACTATATAGTGAGAGGACATTTATTAACACAATCGAATTTAATGTATATGTTAGGACATATTCTAAATTGTTTAAAAAGGTCTGCGCTATTGCAAAGTCGCGGTACTTGAGCTCCAAAATAAAGAACAGTACCAATGTCATCAGAGCGACCTGGAGTATTATTAACAGTGAGACGGGAAGGTCCAAAAAGAGAAGTAATGAATATAGTCTTCTAATTGATAATAATGTAATAAAATCAGACGCAGAAGTTGCAGCTGCATTTGAAAGTTTCTTTTCGGACATTCCTATATCCACGACTAAGTCGTTGAATTCATCTCCCACTGTTGCAGAATCTTTACTAAAAGAAAATGTTATAGCTTGCAGCAAAGGGTTCTCTTTTGAACACATAGATTACACAGATATTGTCAAAACCTTCCATACCTTAAATAAGAAAAAGACTGCAGATTTGTGGGGTAATTCTGTGTACATTGTCAGCTCGGTTATAGCTATTATAGCACCTCTATTAGCTCTAATTTTTAATAATTGTATCGACCGTGGTGTGTTTCCTGATCTTATGAAAAATAGTAAAGTAACACCGTTATTTAAATCAGGTAGTACTTCTGACCCCACTAACTTTAGACCTATTTCAATACTACCTTCATTTAGTAAAATTTTTGAAAAAATTATTCTTAATCAAATGCAAAGATTTTTTAATAGAAATAAATTGTTACATGCTAACCAGTTTGGTTTTACCAGGGGTCGTTCAACAACTGATGCCGGTGTTGAACTTCTTAATCACGTATATGACGCTTGGGAGGACTCAAGCGATGCTTTGGGCATTTTTTGTGACTTATCCAAGGCGTTCGATTGTGTCCTTCATGATACATTGATCAGGAAGCTATCCCATTATGGAATAAGAGGTAAATCTCTGGATCTTCTTACCTCATACTTGAGTAACAGGATTCAGAGAGTCGAGATAAACGGAAAAGTCTCCGCCGGGTCTGTTGTCAGGATGGGGGTTCCGCAGGGGTCAATTCTCGGCCCTTTTTTGTTTCTTATATATATAAATGACTTACCTTACCTCGTACGGGATAACCACGGGATAGTACTGTTTGCGGATGATACTTCGTTATTATTTAAACTTAAACGTAGACAATTAGTCATTGATAATGTGAACAATGCTCTCTCGGAAATAGTACGCTGGTTTAGTGCCAACAACCTATTACTAAATGGAACTAAAACTAAATGCATTAAATTTACAACACCAAATGTTGGACATGTTAAAACCAGCGTGCTCATTAAGGGTGAGGAGTTGAGCCCTGTAGATTCTGCTGTCTTTTTAGGTATAACCCTAGACGCTAAGCTCCAGTGGGCTCCACATATAGATAAGTTATCGAAAAGGCTCAGTTCTGCAGCATATGCCGTTAAAAAAATTAGAAAGTTAACCGATGTAGATACAGCGCGATTAGTATACTTTAGTTATTTTCATAGTGTCATGTCATATGGTATTCTCCTATGGGGGAATGCTGCTGACATTCAATCTATCTTTGTTCTGCAGAAGAGGGCCATTCGATCAATTTATAATCTTAGTCCGAGGTACTCTCTCAGGGAACTATTTAAAGAAATTAATATAATGACCGTTGCCTCTCAATACATTTATGAAAATGTAGTATATGCTCATAAAAACAAAAATTTATTTAAAAAGCATAGTGATATACATAATATCAACACGAGAAATAAAGACAAATATGTTGTTCCCACTACTAGACTAAAGAAAATAAGTGGTTCGTTTAGATGTCAGAGTATACGCTTTTACAATAAAATTCCCAGCCATATCCAAAATCTGAGTCTAAATAAATTTAAAAATGCCATTAAAGATAAATTTTATAGTAAAGCTTTTTATAAAATTAAAGACTACCTAGATGATAGTCTGGCTTGGGAATAAGCTGCTGTAACGTCCACACGGGTCATGTTGACATGTTTGTAACATATAGTTACATTTCTTGACATTGTTTTTCATACATTGTTCTAACTTGACATTTGCTTTTTCCTTTACAATTGTTAGTGCTAGGACCGTGCGAGACTTTGCCTCACCATTTCTTTTCTAATTACCCATATTCTGACAGTTTGAGTATTTGTGCGACCCACGCAAATGTTCTTTAGGTTGGTATTGTTCGTCGAATCAGTCAGCCTCACCTGTTAATTGAGCCGACTGTAAACCGACACATGCGTACTGCCTTCAGAACGGGTCCGCTCAAACTGTTGTGGTTCTTTCCTCAAAAGGCCACTACAGAAAGAACTTGCACGGTTCTCACACATAATCTTTTATACATATTGTCTGGACTTTAAAAGAGACAGACCTCTGAGTTTGTTTCGGCATTTCTTCTCAGAGTAGTCAGTTAGGAAATGTCGACCTCATCGTTCGCTTGATAAAAATGACGTGTAAAAGTGCTGCTTTGTAGCCTATTTGCAGAAATAAATTCACTTGTTTCACTTGTTTCACTACAAGTTCACATACACATGACACCCAGACCCGGAACAACAATTTGTGGATCACACAAAGTGTTGTTCCGTGCGGGAATCGAACCCGCTACACGTTGCGCGGCAGCTGGTTGCCCAGCCATCGCGACAACTGTGCAGTCAATTGATCTAGCCAGTTTAATATAGAGAACAGGAAAAGATGACCATAAAATATAAATATTTTTTAAATAATGTGTTTATCTTTAAACATAGTGATAGCAAGTTGTACGCGAGGTGCAGTGAACTATCACCGGCTGTGGGCTCGTACACAAAACTGCGATGCGATGCGATGCGAATTCACAACGTAGAAAATTACGATACGATTTCGTGCGACAAGGCGTCCCCCAGGGTGACCATTCCTTCGACGACCGTCAACCGTACAAAACGTATTTTAAACTGTCAAACACCAAGCGGTCACCGGTGACCGCAACCTATTGTTCTATAATTGTGTCTATAATGACGGTACTCGACGAGTTAAATAGAAAACTAGGTCGTGACATGGATCGTAAAAAGAAGTGTGCACTTCTGTTATTGCTTAGGAGATACAGGAAAAAGAAACAAAGAAGATTTTAGGAAGATATGATTTTGATGAATCAATTCGCGAGTTCTTGCGATGCGTAGAGGGAGCTCGCAAATTTTTGCGATGCGACGTCCCATCGCAGTTTTGTGTACGAGCCCTATTGAAGATTGATGATATCACAACGTACCCTGCAGAATAGCCAGCAGGATGACGATGATGAAGAAGAAGAATGTGATGTCGAATATGATGCGGTAGACCTCGGAGTCGTCTCCATCGGGCGGCTCCAGCTCGTCGCCAATACCGCCGCCGGCTCGTACTCCTTTATACAGGTTGAATACGAAGCACTGGGGAGTTGAAAGGAGGAGAAATCGATTACCTTGAAAATAATCATAACTAATGTTCAAATACTCAATAAAATCGCGCTCAAGTATATTTCTGTCACTGCATATTCTTTTTAAAATGACAGTGATGGCACTATATTTATGTACAACTTAAAATTGTACGCCTTCGATGAAGTTTGTTACGTATCTTCTTTAATTTGTTTACCTATTTAACTTAATAGATAAAATAGTTGCACATAAAATCCTTATCCTTACTATATAATATAATAAATTGGAAAGTGAGTTTGTTTGTTCCGCTTTCACGCCGTAACTACTAAACCGATTGCTTTGAATTTTTGCAGACGTAAAGTTAGAAGTCCGGATTAAATAATAGGGTACTTTTTATCCCGGAAAAATTTGATATTCCCGAGGGAAAACAAAAGTATTGGTATAGATGGCGCTGTGTGTATTGGTATATGTCACATAGGCTACGTTTTATCCTTTTGTGACGCGAGCGAAGCCGCGGGTAAAAGCTCGTGCCCGATATATGGCAATAGGCCTACCCCCTATTACATGGGACTCATAAAATAAATAGTGAAAAGTGGTTACATTGTACAGTGACATAGTACACATCTGCCTATCCCTTCGAGGACAAAAGGCGTGATGTTATGTTATGTGTTATATAAAAATTTATTTCCTTTCGTTAGTCTCGCTAAAATTCGAAACGGTTGAACCGATTTGGCTAATTTTGGTCTTGAATGACTTGTGGAAGACCAGGGTAGGGTTAAAAGGGGAGAAAAAAGAAGCGATACGAAACTACGAAGTTTGCCTGCTCGGCTAGTTAAAATAATATAAATGACTTACCGTAAGCATATCATGGCAGTTCCTATTGACCTCGTCGTCTTCCTCCTGCACGTAGAACTTGCGGAAGAAGTTGAACGCTATCACGGTATAGATATACACTATGATGGTAAGCAGCATCACCGTCAGGACCAGCTGGGGAGTTATAAACAAAATGTATGAGATTTTTTTTCAGGTTAATTGTGTTATTTAACCGAATTCAAAAAGAAATGGC